AAACTACTGACCTACACTTAGTTTCCACAGCTTACATCATCATGGACATGTTGACCTTGCTGGGCCTCGGGTTCTCACTCATAAAACAAGGAGGGTGGGATAAATCAGCCCTGGGTCCTTGTCAAGTTTCATATCCCCTGATTCTCTAACCCTTGAACACAGAAACTCATTTGGCCCAAAGTCGTGCCTCCTGGGGCCACTTAGCCCAGCAGGACGCCTCTGGCAGGTGGACATCAGCTCTGTCTCAACTTTATCGGCACCAAAGACCTGCTACCAGGCAGTCATTTTATTCGCAGATCTGATGGTCAGACATTTCTGCCTCTACTAACTAAAAAGTATGACTTAACAACTCTAACTCAAATTTATTCATTTGTGAAATGGAGATGAAAAATATCTACGTCAGAATGTTGTTGAGTAGTTCAAATAATATACTTGAAGTATTTCTCAAAAAGCAAAAGCATTACGGAAATATTGCCATATTATTGTTATCTGATCATGTTAATAATCATCTTATTTGTGTATACTTGCACAATGTATGGTAGGTTATAAATTTATCTTTTAATAATCTTCATATTCCTGTCCCCTTAGGGCATAACATTAAGAATAATCCTGAATCAAACCTCTGACATATATTTCTGGCAAAATTATTGAGATGAGTTCAACTACAATTTTTAAATATTCTACTTACCTCATTAATAATAGTAAAAAGAAGAGGGTTTCACTAAATGCCATTAAATAATTGCATAAAGCTCAATACTAATTAATTCATAAACACTCTCCAAATATGATTTTCCAACAAGTTACTTATCTCCCTAAGGGGCTATAAGCTTCCCGCTGAGTATCACAATTTGGGTAACTGCAAATTAGAAAGCTTCAAAATGCTGCATCTGTACTTATTTTTTTTTCAGCCCATTCCACCCCATTAAATGGCATCAACTACAGTCCTTTTTACCCTTTTAAAAAATATATTGTTCAGTTACAGTTGTCCCAACTTTCTCCCCATTGCTCACCCCGACTCCGTCCCGCCCACTGTACACTCTCCTCCCCATGTGCATGCCCATGAGTCCTCTATTCCTGTTCCTTTGCTTGCCCCTCCCTCCACCCCTCTGGTCACTGACAGTTTGTTCTTTATTTCCAAGTCTCTGGTTTTATTTTGCTCATTTGTTTGTTTTGTTGATTAGGTTCCACTTACAGGTGAGGCCATATGGCATTTGTTTTTCACCACCTGACTTATTTTATTTAGCGTAATGCTCTCCAGTTCCATCCATGCTGTTGTGAAGGATAGTACCTCCTTCTTTCTTCTGCATAGTTTTCCATTGTGTCAATATACCAGTTTTTTGATCCACTCACATACTGATGGGCACTTAGGTTGCTTCCAGCACTTCACTCTTGTAAATTGTGCTGCTATGAACATTGGGGTGCATAGGTTCTTCTGAATTGGTGATTCAAGACTCTTAGTGTATAATCTGAGCAGCGGTATCACTGGATTAAAAGGCAGTTCCATCTTTAGTTTTTTAGGAAATCCTTTTACCTTTTAAATCTCTATCCCTCTTTCCTCTTTTCCATTGTTCAGTTCACTCCCTCTTTTCTCCCCTGAACTTTGGTAATAGGCTTCTAACTGGCCTCCATTCTTCAGTCCCCGTCCCACTAACCTTTCCCATGGCTGCCAGAACATCTCCAAAAGCAAGTCCTACCATGTAAAGATTTTTTAATCGACAAATTATTGCAGAATGAGATCTCTTAATCACTGCACATCTCCATAAACACCTTATTTCTTTCTGTCTCATTATCTTCATCATGCTATTCATATTCCCTGCCACAGTAACAGCAAAAAATATACATGAAGTAATGAGCTCTCGCCGTCCATAAGCATTTGCACCCTGTTCCCCATGCCTGTCATCCTTCCCCTCCTGATTCTTCAGAAGTCACCTCCGAGTGTTCCCTGATTGTCACTTCCAGACGTTTGCTACACAAACTGCCTCTTTTTCTGAGCAGCTAGAGTGCTTCTCAATTGTGGAAGTTTGTCTGTTTCTTCTTTCAGGCCATATTTTCCCTTAGGGCAGACACCAGCATTTATCACCACATCCAGACCTAGCAAAGTGCCAGGCACGTGCTTGTCAAATATGGAAAGCAGATCAGAAAAAAGCGATGGTCTGAAACTGTAGTCTCAACGTACTTTCAGATTCATCATCTTGTTTGATCCCTGTAAGAGGTTGATGAGGCGCACAGGATATTTCAAAGAACATGTATGTGTAAATGTACTGTACAGCTTTCTATCCCTATTCTGAAAATCTAGGTGGCTCTGGTTTATCAGATGAAACCCTGGGAAAAGATAAAGCTGATGAAGTCTTATCCTTGCCACTGACAACATCATCTTATGAGTGGACAAAACAACTATGAGACATTTACACAGTGGAATACCACTCGGCCATAAAAAAAAAAAAGGTTCACCTTCTGATGAGATGGTATGAGCGGACCTAGAGAAAAGTATGCTGGGTGAAATAAGCCAGACAAAGAAAAATACCATGTGATTTCACTTATATGTGGAATCTAGTGAATAAACTCAACTAATAAGGAAAATGGGGACAGACTCATAGATGAAGAGCAGGAGGATGGCAGTGTGGGGTGGAGCAGAGGTTACGGGCTGAAGGGATTGAGCAAAGAGGAAGAAGGACTGATGGACACGTGTGGTGACTGCTGCAGGGAGGAGAGTAAAAGGGTCTGAATGGTAATGAAAAAAAACCAATAAGGATTAAATTTTAAAAAGATCACCTTATTTTCACAGATTTATTATCAGCACCTAGTTCCTTTCTAGATTTTTCCTATTAAACAAGCAACTTACACCATAGTGTACAAACATCACCCTTAAGTAGTCAAGCGGTCCCCCCACTCTTTTCAGCTGACACCAAGTACTTGCTCCTAGAAGCTTTACTCTGTGGCAGCTCTAAGACTTAAAGAACTTCATTACTTCACATCTAAAATATTAGCCCCTGTAAGTACATTTTCCCACTTCACTAGGAGTGAAAGCACTTTCAAATATTGCCTCCAACACAGGACCGCTGTGACGCTGTTGTGGTCGGGGGTCTGTGACAGGAATGTTCCCGGATCACTCTTGGCAAACAGCAGGCGCTCTGGTGTGCTGCTACTTTCTGAGTAGGTGCAGCTCCATCTGTTCCATCAAATATGCAAAACTCACAGCTTCGCATACCACTCGCGGCTTGTGTGTGGTCACACTTTGCCAGCCTCCTGGCCCATCCCTGGCTACACTCTCACCCGGGTAGCCTGTGTCTGTTGGTAAAACAGTCCAAGTCTCTGACCGCCTGTTGTGAAATAACTTATTTCAGGCCCATGTTCAAATCACAGCCAATTTGTCTTCTTTCTTCTGCGCTTTCAACCCAAGTGTTTTCAGGGTGTACAGACATCCACTACCAAAGCTGAGACTGCCGTTCCCAACTCCACATTGTTCATTTCTTTTTCCGAGAAAACAGCTGTAACCTGAAACAGGTGGCATTTAGAAGGGTGTTGGAATGAAGGGTTTATAATAGTAATTTAAAAAACCCTCAATACCCAATAATAGAGGACAAAATTATGGAAAACTATCATTAAATGTTATACAACCAGTACAAATGATGAACATACTCCACATAGATAATAGAAAAACAGTAAAAATAAAAATACTAGGTGAGAAAATACATCAGTGCCAAAAAGTATATGGTGCATTTTTAAGCCATTTTAAGTGAGGACCAGTTGGACAGTGAAATTACCCACAGAATTCTAAAAACTTATTTCTAATGTTTGTTAAATTGTTGGGGTAACTGTAGTTAAAATCCCTTCCCTCTCCGTGAATTTGGATCAGTTTTTGGATCAGTTTACCAATCTCTCTTCCACACACACATGAACATAATATCTGATACAGGCATATTTAAAAAGAAGAAAAACACGCTAATTGGTTGCCGTGAGAGCATCAGGCCTGCAATCGGAAATTATTTAAAATAAAATACTTCATGCCTTTCAGTATTTTTGCCTGGTGCATATTACCAATTTTTCTTTCTTTTTAAAAGTGTTGGGCAGCATGAGGCTCTTGAACAATCAATCCACTCTCTCCTGCTTGCCATTTCTTGCACAGGCCGTGTATGGCGCTTCCTTATACCCTTTGCATTTGCTCCCAGTGCCAGGAACACTCACGATGTTCAAGTGGTTACTGATCGGCCAGGCCAGGGCTCGGGGCATGTCTTCTCTAATCATTTAGGAGACACCCTTCCCTAGTTAAAATAAACATGCCACCCCAAATTACGCCTATTTCTATCCCTTTACCATGCTTATTTTCCTTTATATCATGTATTGCCATCTGAAATTCAATGCCACACTTGTTTACGTATTTGTTTGTTCTCTACATTCACGTACTGAAATAGCTCATTGGGACTAGAGTCTTTGGTTCCGTTGTTCCTCCTAGCCATTAGCAGGGTGCCTGGCACGGACCTAGGCTTATACGTACTTGAGTCAAGTATAAGTCATTTGAAAGGTGCGGTGGGTCTGAGAAGTTACCTACACAGCACTGACGTAGGCCGTGGTTTCTCGACTTGGGGAACCGTCTGCTTTCTGGGGGAAGAAACCTGTAATATTGTTTCAAAGAGCCTCCCTTCCTCTTTCTGAAAGATAAACATACAATGTGACCTCTGGCTGGAAGTTCAAGGAAGTTAGAACTATGGACTCTTTCATTAATCAAAAGGGAGCTGTTTAGCGTAAATGCCAGCCAGTCACCTCAATGGAGATTACTCAAAAGGTACAGAGGACGGAGCAGGCCCACTGCTGGGCTCAGACACAAACTTGTTCATCCCGATGTGCACCTCCCCGGAGGAATCCCATCTTCTACCATCTCAGACTCACACGTCTACATTTATTAAATAGCACTAATGCACCTTGACATTTGGCTTTCAGTTTACTAGTAAGTCAAGTGAATAAAGTGGGGGAAAAGACAAAGACAGAAAAACACACTCCAGTTATACATTTTCCTTTCAAGGGTAAAAATTTTATTTTCGATGAACTTCATGCTGCACATTTTCAAAGAGAGTCACATAAGAAAGCAAAAAATGTTATCCTCCCCTCATCCTAGAAATAAATAAGCAGGGCATAAAATTCCTTTTTTAATCACGAGACTTGAAAGTTTAGCACCAGCATCCAAAATGAACAGAAAAGGGAAAAAAAGCATTTACTATATATATTTCAGATTTCTTTGGGGGTTTTCCCCATGTGGTATTAATATTTCTTCTTTCAATTCATATCACCAAAACAGTAAAACCAGGAAAAAAATATAAACCTAGTGGGTGCTGAAACTGGGGAGGTGCTCGCTTATCCTCTGTGCAGGCATTCCCAGAAAAACCACTGGAAACACGGCTGACATTCTCCTTTTGTGCTTATTTGGTTTGTCAAGAATAATTGTAAACATTCCAATGTCCACATTCGGGGTATTAGTCTTCCACTTTATTGCTTGGATGTTTCTTTGGTGTTGGTAAGGTCGTGGTCTGCTTTTGTTTTAACTTTTGAATGATCATTAATTCTTTAGGTCACCTGGAAAAAATTAAAATCAAACTTAGAAAGAGTGACGGAATAACCAGGGGTTAAAGAATACAAAGGCAAAAATGCTATTTTTCATGTATTTCAAAATACACTATTTTAAAAACTCTAAACAAAATCTGCACGTGCATCATTCTCATTATGCACTGACTTTTTTCATTTTTAAAAAACGTATTTTGATTATGCCATTACTTTTGTTCTATTCCCCCTTCATTCCTTTCCACCCTGCCCCCCTCCCCCACCATTCCCCCTTTAGTTTATGACCACATGTCTCAAGTTCTTTAGATTCTATATTTCCCATACTATTCTTACCCTCCCCCTATCTATTTTCTACCTACCGTCTATGCTACTTATTTTCTGTACCTTCTCCCCCCTTTTCCTTCTCCCACTCCCCTGTTGCTAACCCTCCATGTGATTTTCATTTCTATGGTTCTGCTCCTGATCTAGCTGTTCTTTTGTTTTGGGTGTGGTTCTTAATAACTGTGAGTATGCACTGACTTAACAGAAGCTGTTTTGCATGAACCAGAACAGTCAGAACATAAAAGTGAAACCACAATGAAGGTAACAAGCTAACCTGTATAAAGAGGTTATTCTTTACCGCTCCCTGTTTAACAGTTTCACAGGTGAGGTGTTATCTCACTAAACATTTGCGAAGACCTCCGTGGCTCAGGCCAGCGAGTGTTCACCCTCCACCCTCAGCAGCCATCACTGAGGCAGAGGGCAAATAAAAGAACTGCTCAAGGTGGCCTGGCAAACGAGCCGCAGACCCTGCACTGAGGACTCGGACCTGCTGGCCCGTGCACGCTGGACTGCGCTGCCTCCAAATCCATGTTCCTCGTCAAAGGGAAAAGGGGACAAGAAAACCACTCCAGTTTTTCCACAGGCCAGTCTCCCGTTACTAAAATAAGGCCTGGTCAGGCACTTTTAAATGATCAAATTGGCCACTAGGTGTCACAAAAGTTAAACTTTCAAGTGTTCTTACCTGGGATTACCTTGTTAATACTATAATAATTAAAAACTGTCTAGAAAAAAGAATTAGACTCTCATTAATTGTCTGAATGTTTATGCACCCAAAGCCTAGCTAAATAAACAAACAACAAAAAAGGCAATCTCGGAGATATTTGAACATGAAAACCGCTTTCTTCAAAATCCCAATGGAGGTGAGGGATGGTCCAGGTGAATCACAGAGCTCCTGTGGACTGATTTGGGCTGCTGTTGAGAAATCACGGACATTCGACAGAAAACATCAGCTGCAGCCTGGGCGGCCCACGCTCTTACCTGCCGATGGTGAAGGTGCCGGAGGAGCCTGGTGTTACTCAGCACTGCTCTGCTCGGTGGCTGGAGCAGGGTTCTCAGATGGCACTTCACCCGCCTTGGTCTAAAACACAAAACAGAGCCACACACCAGAGATGAACCAATTCAGGTGACACTGGAAAGTTCAAGACTGAAAGCCCTCACGAGAAGGATAGAATCTTCTTGCCTCTGAAGGCAAATCACTGATCAAAACTTCATTTATTCTCAAATAAAAGTCAAAAATCAGTACCACAGAAGGATGGCTTCCAAGTAGCAACTCAACACCACCCCTCTCCACAACAAAAAGCCTATGACATGTGATTACTTTCTGCACTTAGAAGCAGGTTCCTCTCTGTGAAAGCTGTCCTTGGTTTGGACAGCCCTAAAGGTATCAGCTCTGAATCCCCACAATGTAGATGATTCTTCCGGAGAATCTGATTTAGTGAAATTCATACATTTGGTTTGTATTAAGTACAGGGCATACTCTCTCTATATACATACAGGCCTTAAGTATAATGTTAATATATATATATAAATGTATATAAAATGTGAATATACCCTATATTGCTTATAATTATATATGGTACTTATAAATAACATTTTCCACAAGCTATTCTATATAAATATGTATAGTTGTGTCAGCCATTAGACTATAAACCACTCTTGGAACACAGCACTAAAGTTTGGCATGATGAAGGCTGATCTGGCGTGGCCCCCGCCCGCTGCCTGGATTTACCTCTTTGCCATCCTGGGAAGGAGCATTGGGAGGGCGGGGGCGACGCCGATAGTTGTACGGGCGCCGGTACCCACGGCGAGCAGATGGCTGGTTTGGACCAGTGGCCGCTTGTTGATTTTCTTTGTCTTCAGCCTCTCCCACGGCTGGGGCAGGTCGCGGGCGAGGGGGGCCCCTAGAACAGAGCACAGGACACAGAGAGGGAAGTGCAGTGTGGCAGCCGTCCTCGAAAACACGGGTTTTAGTCATTTTCTCAAGATGAAAAAGCCAAGCGATCGGGCACTTATTGTCAGAATTATGCACAGGCTAATGCAGCAAATGGAACACAGTTTGAGTGGAGAAAAAAAACTTTTCCCATCATTTTCTCCCTTCCTCTGAATGCCTATTTTTGTGAATAAACATGTACTGAGCACCTACTATATTCCTGCCAGTCACCCTGATGGGCACTGAGGACAGGAAAGTAAAGTGGTCTGGCATCTGCCCTCCGTGAACAGAGTTTTGTGGAGAATAAGATTAAACACCAGAGCCTGTGATGGGGGGGGGTTTCATGTTAAATCACTTAATGTCAATACCTAGATTTATAGTGAGAAATCCAAGTGGTTCGGAGAAAATAAGTACTGTTTGAGACATATAGGATTGCTGGTTTTCTAGGTCAAAAAAGGTCCAGGACACCTTTGCCAGGATGTCACAGCTCGGGATCGAAAGGGCTGGGCCCCACATGCTGTCCTGTGTCCTCGATTTTTATTACGACATTTCTATGAAGTCACTTTTATTTGACAGCCCTTAGTAATTAATCATTAGAGTGATTACGTCTAAAACTGGAGTGAACCTTGGGAGGAAAAAGGATACAAAAGGTGTACAAATCCTTGCCCTAAATGATACACTTACACGCCCTTCGATGAACTCACATCCCCAAACTTCAAGGTGTTCTGCATGGCATTCAGGAATGAAGCTGGTTTTTTCTTTTTCTTTTTTTTTTCTTTTACTTACCCTCAAGGATAGGATATATAAACAGTAAGGCTCAATATAAAAAGCTGAAAAAGGATCTTAGGGGGGGTCTAGTCAATTTGCAATTTTCACAGGGATAAAGAATCAAATAACCCACTCCATTAATACTAACATCAGAGATAGTATAATATTTAACATTTACTCACTCAGTAGATATTTAACACTTATTGAGTGATTACTATACCAGGCACGTTACCAATTATCTTAAATGCATTATACATTTAAACCTAGTGACAACTGTAGAACATTCCTTAATGTCCACTTACAGACCTGGTGACTGGCTTTAAGAATCCGCAAACTTGCTGAAGGAGTTACAGCTACTAACTGCAGGGCAGGAATTTAAATAGACGGTCTGATCTATATCCTGATACAGATCTGATATAACCTTCCTACCAGACTGGCTCAGTCGACAGACTATGCAGAGTCCCAAGCATCTCTGGCACTCTACGAGTTCTTCCTCTACAAGTAGCTCTACGATGGAATTACCCATCCATTAATTTCTGCTCATTTCATTAAAAATAAAAAAAATAATAATTTATGTCATGAGAAAGTTATCGAATACAAATGATGCTGTGGTAGAATGAAACCCTAAACATTCTAACTGTCTAAGTAGGGGGTGGGAAATGTCACAAGGCATCTGAAAACATGCACGGCAGAGCCCCACCCGAACTTGGCCATACCAGAATCCACAAAACAAGACCCACAATACCCCGTCCCTGCTGCCACCCCTCACCGGGCCTTCAGCTGGTCGTCAGTTAGAGGAAGGTGCCACACACCTGCGGTACCTGGGGCGGTAAGTTGGATTTCGGTGAACCGGGCCCTGTAGCTGCACTCCCTCCGGGACGCCGTCCTTCATCTCCCCGATCTCGCCGGCCTAGGAGAAGGGAACAGGGCTGGGGATGAGTGCCGTGCTACCAGATGCAGGAGGCGCAGAGCACGCAGCTGCATTCAGGGTTTTGGTGAAAAGTAAAAGATAAAAAAAGGCTTCTGTACAGAGCTGGGAACTCTCAGTCAACAGGGAACTGTTGACTGACTGGATCTTTGTGAATGATGGAAAAGTAAGAAAAACTCCCTCCCACTAGATAAGTCTTCCGCCTTATTCCCGAGTAACTAATTTTTTCACAATGCTAATTTAACATTTTGAAGTGTTCCATGTATCTTTTGAAAGAAAACCTACAGTATGGAAGGAAATGCACTCTTAGGCTCCATTTGAGCAATGAAACTCCTTTGCAAAGTCAGACCCACTAACTCTACAGACTGGGTGTCCCTTCAGTATTTAATCATTTCTACATTCACAGCACCTCCCACACCTCTTAACTATGCCTCCACCTCCAATTCCTCCCTTTCACAATTTCTTCCTTGTATCTATTTGCACTATGTATTTAAGCATAACATTTTAAAAAGCAAAATACACTTTCTTAATGATAAATTTATTTTAAGCTGTGGGAATATAGTAATTTTATTGTAGAACTTCCAGGGGAAGAAAGACTAACTACAGACAAAAACAAAAAACAAAAAGCCCACCGGCAACCTCTCAGAATCACTACATTATAGCCACAGTCTCAACCTTCTTTCCCCCACTCAAAACTAACATCCCTTCCTCCTCCATATTTCACTAAGAAAAGAGCAGTCAGAAAATATTTTCTACAGGTTACCAAGCCACCCACACTTGTATTAATTGTCTTCTCTCTCATGACACTGGATGAGCGGTCGAAGCTCGTATCCAGAGCCAACCCGTCTCTCTTGCCTCCCAGAGGGGCTCACTCTTTATTCCCCCTTCACTGTGCATTTCCTGCCCTTTCTACTCCACCACTTCCATCCAGACACATAAACGTGCTGAGGTAACAGCCACCGTTTTCAATTATTTTATTTTGAAATAATCTCACACAGAAAAGTTGGAGGTATAGAATCTAATCCTCAGACCCCATTCACGTCTCACCAATAATGCCCTTTACAGCAAAAACCACTTAGAACCATGCATTGAATTTAGTTGTCTCTCTTTTTGACACAGTCCTTCTATCTCTGGTTGGTTTCCATGACCATGACACTATTAAAGATACAGACTACTCCCTCCACTGGGGGGTGGAGGGGTGGGGTGGGGAGGGGAGATATTATAGGCCACATATTTTAAAATACCCCCCCCCCCGTGCGGCTGCTTGGTGTCTCTCATGCTTTAGTTTCCGCGTGCGTGGCAGGGAAGCCATAGAAGTGACACGGGGCTCTCCTCACTGCACCCTGGCAGGGCGAGTTCAGCTGCACACCCCCACTGACAGCGCCGGCACAGAGCAGGAGTTAAAGTGGTTTGCTCTTTTCCCCTTGTAATTCAGAAGGATTCTGAAGATGCACTTTCAAAGTCTGTAAATATTTGGTTTCTCATCAAATTCTCAGTATACCCATTCATTCGTGTGTATCTGTACAGACTCATGGTTTTCTATTTTATTCAGTGAGTTATAATCTGCTACTGCCATTACTGGCCAACAGGAACCCATTCAAGTGGGCTCATGTCCTTTTGACCTGCCTCCAACATTCTTTGCGTACTTCCTTGCTTTCTGGCACAACAAGATGTTCCAAGTTCATATTGTACTTTCTCTGGTCCAGATCTGAAATCAGCCATTTCTCCAAAGGAGCTTCCTTTTAGTGGAGAATGGTATTCAGAAAGCCCAATGCTATCAAGGTGTCGCTGACTTCGGGCCAATTCGGTGAACACAAATAAGGAACACGCCGCACACAATGTGTACACACACACACACACACACACACACATAAATGATTGTATGTTGCAGGGGGTGGGGGGTGCATTAGATCTGCCCATCTAATGACATCATGAGCAAGTTGTTGGCAAGGCAGGGGATTAGGGAAACCAGCACAGAGCTCACTCAGTGTAAAAACAGAATCAGACCAGGCCCACGCCTTGCCCTAACCTCATTCTCCCCCAGACACTGCTGCACATCACTGGGCTCCTTCGCAGACACACAGGCCGAAGGAAACCCGTCGCCATCGCCACAGAAACAACCCCAAGGGGAAGAACCTAGTCTTCCTCCTCCACCTCGGCGCTCTCTTGACCCATCCAAATCGTACCTTTATCCTCACCATATCGCCAACCTCCAGGTGACCAAACCCGGCAATCAGTTCTCAACCTAACGCCCTCTCCTTTTTGGCAGCATTTAACACAGCATTTCCTTCTCAAAACGTACTTTTTTCTACTTGTCCCTTTGCATCGCCATTTGTCAGGCTCTTGTCTTCCTAGTCTTTCGTGGCTGGTGTGCCCCAGAACTCAGTCCCAGGGTCAGTGCTCTGCCTCACGCACTTTATAGCCAGTCCCACCCCCACTGCGCCCTTCACCATGTCTCCACGGCTCCGAGGTTCTGGCTACAATCTCGTCTGTCCCGGTCAGGCGCCCTCTTCGGCCTCTGTACTTGCCAATCCCTCCGCCATGCGTGCAGTTCCCGGGACCCGAATAACTCGCCCCCTCGCTTCCTTAGGTCTCTTCTCAAATACAGCACCAAAGACTTTGCCAGCCACCTCATCTAAAGTGACACCTGCTTAACTCATGCCACCCTCTACCTCTTGACTCTGCTTTGTTTTATTTATTAATTTACTATTATTTTTTTTTTTGCCTACCTGGCATCTCCACTTGGATGCAAAATGTAATATGGGGGAAAGGCCTCCAAATAATTTTAACCTTCCTCCTAAACTCAATCTTTCTTCAGTCTTCCTTTGTTTAAATTAAAAAATAAAACAAAACCAAACAAACAAAAAGAGGTGTCCTTTACTCCTCCCGTCGCACATTCACTCCAGTACCAAATGCTGTCACTCTGATGTTGAAAACACTCCCGGAATCGGACCACTTATCATACCTCCACTGCCAGCACTCTGACCCAGGCCAGGTCACAGTCATCTCTCCGCTGGGCGATTACGGTTAACTCGTCTCCCTACTTGTTGCCTCCTGTGGTCCTGCCTCTAAAAACGGCCCAGTGATCTCTTAAATGTTTCTTCCCTGTACAGATTCCTTTGCTCCTTTTTATCACATTTAGAGTCTGTCAACGGTCCCTATTACGGTCTTGCCAGGCATGTCTGGTCTGCTCCAAGGTATCACCCTCGTCCCACCTGCTAGCCCTCTCCTCTCCGCTCATTCCACCCCAACCACACCGGCCTCCCTGTAGTTGTCTGAACAAGCAAACCTGCTTCTTTCTCAGGAACTTTAATTAGGAACGAAAAAAGAAAAGGACAGAAAGAACAATGAACTTGACTGGAGGATGAGAGTTTACCAGAATGACAGAATGGGAGAAGGAGAATGAAGCTCCAGCACTTCTTGCCCACGTAACCTCAGGTAATAAAAGTTGTTAACTTCCCCAAACATCCAAATCTCTTCGTGTGCAGCGACAGCATGGAACGCACTGTCACCTTCACAGAGCCGTAGGGACGCTGAAGGAGAACTGTGTTCAGATGTCGATCACGTGGCAGATGCCAGACAACGCTGCCCCCTTTCCTCTATCACAGATTTCTTTTCTCAAGGACTATGAATAGTTGGTATTAGCCCAGTAGCCAATTCTACTTAATTTCAAACACAGAGAATTATTTTCTCTAAAAAGTGGAGGTCGTTTGGTCACTGACCATGCTGTACTGTGTCCTTTGTGCATAAGAGAAATACTGTTGGCCTGCATATCGCTTTTTTTCCCACTGTCGTGTCCAATGAATTTCAAAGTTTTGAACAGAGTAGAAAATGTTGGAAAGACTTTTCTATTTGACCTCAATAATCTTTACTATCTAGAGAGCTCTCTCTATAATTTAAAGTCATTACACTGACATCCTGGAAGTTACGTGGAAGTTTTAGGAATCTCCACTTGATGATACTGGTTAGCTTAGGCCAACCTCTGACTCCGTCAACATGCTCTCAAGTCCTAAGGTGGAATATACTTTACTTCAAACAATATGAAAAAGAATCGTCGTGTCCTCAAAAAATGACACGTGTGTGTGCTAAATATCACAAATGATTATTTCGGGAAGGTACTCCTAACACTCTAAAAATAACCGTGCATTACAAGCTCACTGCCTCTTCCTGCCCTCATTTCCTAGAAGCCCGAAGTGCCGCCCCGAAGGAACCTACCATGCCCCGTGTACCCAGTCTCTCCAAATGTGTGAGTCTACCTGTTATTTTTAGCACACTGGTCAGGGACAGCTGCTAAAGAGTGGAAGGACAAAAACAAGAAGTGGTGTAGCAAGAACACCGTCATGCATGATGGGAGAGGAGAAGGGTAGCAAAGAACAGACTGAACATAATGTTCAGACAAAACACTTGGTGGCAAAACAACCCAAGGACACCAAGAGGAAAGATTTGCAGCTGGTGAGAGTAAAAGTGATGTCCTAGCCTAAGGTTTCCAAAGTTTCTGGAGAGCAAAAAGTTGGTAGAAGGCTTGTTAAATTACAGGCCAAGTTCACAACAGCTGTATCAATCAATACTTTGTAGTAAAAAAAGGAGAATCAGTCAACAATCTCCACTTCCTGGTAGGGTTTCTAAACAGTCAACACCACCCCATCTAAATTAAGGACTTTAGAGACACTAGCTATCCTATTTAGAGGCACTGTGCTCAAGTCTTTACCTATGATTTAATCACCATAAACCCCATAGTAGAGGTATGTTATTAAAGCCATTTAATGGATGAACAAGTGAATCTCTTTAAAGCTTGGTTTTCTCAAAAGCTCACAGACAGTAAGTAGCAGAGACAAGATTCAAATCCAGGCCTGTCTGACTGACTTCAGAGTTTAAGCTCTTAAGCATATTGTCTCTCTACTTTTCTTCCATAAACTAGAGTTGGCAAGGCATGGCTCAGGTGGTGGTGCTCTTAGAAATGTTACTAGAATGAAAGACTCCAGGCCTTGCCCTCAGCTTTTGTAGCACAAAGAAGCCACAAGCAAGGTTTTGTTTCCCGCAGCTGGTGTTGGAGGAGGAGGAGGAAGAGGAGGCAGAGGAAGGACGGAGGGGTGAGGACTGCTGAAGAGAAGTCCCAGGTGCAATTTTACCTGCATTCTGTTGGGATGGGGAAAGACCCGTGAGCGGCGGTCAAAGGTCTGTCCCACGTGGTAAGGCGGGAACCGCCGCAGGTACTGAGGGCGGTACTGAGGGCGGTACTGGGGGCGGCGCAGCCGACTCCGGGCCCCAGAGAACTGCCCGTCAGTGGCAGGGGGGTCAAATCCTTCACTGCTGCCGCTCCCTGCCTCCTCCTCCTCCCCAGCGTACTAGCGAAGCAAAGAAACAGAGGTTCAGAAGAAGTTTCAGCAAGGAAAGAACCAAAGAATACCATTTAGGACGAATATCACCAAAAGAAAAAAAATATTTCCTCCTCAAAAGGAATAATGATCCTTTTTTTATACAGACAAAATGCATTTAACCCAGATCATCATGTGATTACCCGGGATAAACTACATTAAGATTAAAGGAGATCTATGCAGATAAAATACCAAGAAGCAGAAAAGCAAAAGCAACCAGTCTACTTAATTTTAACAGTCATCTAATCGACCACCCAAACAGCATTTACAATGTTTATAATATTTAGCCCAGCCATGGGTGGGTTTCCCAACATCTGCCACCCACTGGGACAAAGTCAGGGAAGTCAAGAAAAACATATTTCATGGTGGTATCAACAGTTCACATAGTCTGCTTCCTGCAGCTGCCCTTAAAGTGTGGACGGGGTCTCCGGAACCCTTTGTGGGCAGGGGTCATGAATGTGGAACTGCTCTCATGGTTCCATGGAGATGCTATTTGCCTGAATCTCATCTCATGGGTGTGTGGTGGGGTCTCACGGGGTGACAGGGACCTCTCCCCAGACCAAATGCTGGGGATCAGAGGGTCCACCTGTCTTCCATTAAACCAAACATAAGAGATGTGCAAATATGTCAAGCAATGCCACTCTCCTCAATCAATTTAAAAATATATAGTTCTCATTAAAATGTTACTTACATTTACATGTAATGAGTTTGTTTTACATCAACTGAATATTTTTAAACTTCTGCTTTAATTTCTAATATAATAAATTTTAATAAATAAAGACTCTGGGATCCTCAATAATATTTAAGCATACAAATGGGTCCAAAAACCAAAAAGTTCGAGAACCACTCACTTATGGTGTGATTATATTTGTTTAGTAATACAGTTTTCTTTGCATTTTATCAGGTAGTAAGTAATATATACAGGTAGTTTCTAAATATAGGCCTTACTAACAAAAGGAATTACTGACTCATTTCATACTTTTTTCTGTAGTTAAATTACCATATAATATAGTAGTACTTTATACTTAAAAAATAAAAGCAAACAGCCAAACATCCCTCAAAGAATTTGTTTCAAATATTACTTTAAAAGAGGATGTGCAAATGCCAAACATGGTCTTAAGGTAAGTAAATACAGTTAAAAAAAATAAACAAATTAGCCCTGGCCGGGTAGCTCAGTTGGTTAGAGCATCACCCTGATACGCCAGGGTTGAGGGTTTGATCCCCAGTCAGGGCACACAGAAGAGTCTCCACCTAAATCAATGGAACAAAAGAGCGATGTTTCTCTCTCCCTATCTCTCATTCAAAATTAACAAAAGCATAGCCCATTTCTTTTGGAGAGGGAGGATATTTAATATTCAAAACCCTCCAGATCAAGCCTACACTGGCAACCACATTCCCCCATAGGAAAAGCTTCAACAGAAGGCTGAGCTAGTCAACTTTCAGTCAACTCAAGCCATTCCACTCTTCGTAAAACCTGTTTCAGATCTGACCCCCAGTTACATAAAGACATATAGAAAATGTTCACCAAAATAGTAAGTGTGAGACTTCATAAGCTGTTTTTCTTTTTAGTCTTTTCTTATCTTTTTGAGCTGTAGACAAGCAAATCTTCCATTTTTACAAAATAAAACTAATGGCAGCACCATGGGCAAACATACTTTTGAGCTGTGAGGCCTTAAAAACATTAGGACAGAAAACCTTTATGTACACTTTCAGAACTGACATTTCTAAATACCCTTTACATGCATGCTTTCACAATTTCCAGCCAAGCTGAAAAGTCTTTTAAAGGGAAATTTTTCACTAAAGGTTTTCTATCACTTTACTTCTGAATTAATGCAGGAATCAACATACTCGCAACTGGAGCTCCATGAATCCAATGGACTTAAGTTAATCTGAAAGAGTAAATGCTGTAGGAGCTCATTCCCATCTCCATCCCCTGCACAGCTTCTTATTAAAAATCAAACAGGATAAGCAAATCAGGGAGTAAGAAAAATACAGAAACAGAAAACAAGAGGACATCAACAATATGATAAAAATCAATCTGGGCAGGGTGTGAAGACGAGAGAATGAAGAGGGAAGACATTCTGCTATGCACAAAGATGTAAATCTATCAAAAGCATGGAGATACATCACTCTCAACTTGCAGGTATTGAACTGTGGTGAGACTTTTCAAGTTTTCCTTGGATGACGGACACAGCCCCAATCCTGTGCTTACAAAGCACCTTGGATTTATTCTGTGGTGCCAATCCTAGGCACTAATTCTAGAAACATCAAAAATAGACTCAAATCTGTAGAATCCTCATAACCACCGATGAACAGAATTCTATTTGGGTGCTTTGACAATATTTATATTGAACCTATTAAAAGAGCTCTAGCTAGACTTGGTTATAAACCCTTTCACCTGGATTGGGAGAAACCTAAAGAACAGAAAATCCAGCACTGGCTGGTGTGGCTCAGTTGGTTGGGCACAGGCCTGCAAAACAGAAGGTCACTGGTTTGATTCCTGGTTGGGGCATGTGCCTGGGTTACAGGACCAATCCCCAGTCAAGGTGCATGTGAGAGGCAACTGATCAATGTTTCTCTCCCCTTCTCTCCCTTCCTTCCCCTCTCTCTAAAACAAATAAACGAATAAATACATGCATACAGAAATATTTTTTAAAAACTAAAAATCCAGAGAATTACTTACTACTCTACTTTAAAATAAAATAAATGTTATGCTAAATAAAACACCCACTTACTCGAGGTAAATGTAGTATTTGCTGTGGCTAGCACTGTTTATTGCCTATTCCCAAGCTATTCCCCATTCTTCCTGGCCAACCAAATGCTGATTTTCTCAGAGGTCAACAATACCAGTGCCAAGGGATGAACAACAGGTTTGAGCCCATCGTGGACATCCCATTCCCCTTTACTAGTGAATACCCTAAGACTAGGTTCTGGCCCAGTGAGGAGACTGCCTTTTTGACTACCTTGGCACCGCCTGCCTAAATTAAGCTTTCTTGTTACAAGATAACAAAATGTCTGTTACTTGCAGGCAAGTACATACAAACTGACACAACGTTTCAATGGCAAGTTTCTAGTGAGACCAGGAGCTATGCATAAATTCTAGGCACTAAAAGTTTCCCATCAAGTAAAAAGAAACCGCTTTGTGTCTCCAGGAGAAGATGCAGTATATATGAGCTCTAAGTATGGACACTTAATTCTAGATGTGAACATTTTCTCAATCACTGATTCGGAAGAGAGAGCCACATACGTTGCGGGGAGGTCCACGGCGTCTGCCATAGTAGCCTCGTCTGTAACGGCGCCGATCCGCAGCATAGCGGCTCCCTTCTACAGGAACTCCGTCTGGGCCGGTCACGTTGGCTGCTTCAGCACCCTGACACCGAAAAGAAGAACAGCCTCAAAATTTAAGAGACACTAAACCCCCCCAAAAAACAGCCACTGGCAGCCAGAGTGCTCAAGACTGGCAATTCCCATTGTTAGACCTCAAAAACACACCCACATTTTAATGATGTGAGCGAGGTATTTGATGTCGTGATTGAAATGTGCACACAGCTTGTTGGTTCATGCAGCCTAAGCTCTGCCTCCTTGTTTGGGCTTACTGAGTCCAAAAGCAATACATCCCTCTCTGAAGCACGTAAAGTGGTCAGTACATACAACTAAAAAGAAGGAATGGAAGACCAAGAAGGATATTCCTTGGTGGAAAATAACTGAGATGATGGTATCTTCCACATTCTTCTCACCGGCACCGAGGGAAGCCCTATTCACAGGCTCACGGGGCTCTGTCCAGAAGGACCGAGAGTGAAACTTGGCGGCAACGGGAGCGAAGGGCCCTGGACTTAGTACTGCAGAGCTTCCACACACGCCGTCCCCTTTTAGTCCTTCCTCTTATCCTTGAACCAGACCTGGCATTCTTATTCTCATATGAGCCAATGAACACAATGCTTCAGACATACAAAGAAATTCAAGATGACTCAAAAGAGTGTGTTTCACACCCTGTATCACTTTGTAAAACCTCGAGTTCTGAAAACACAGAGGTGAATGACACAGTGGAACAGAGGTCAAATTCACCCGAAAAAACAAGATACTAGAGATCATTACAGGCCAGCATTTGAATCTCCAAGATACCCTTGGGATCCCATCGGTACAGGCATCATTTACATTAGTATATTAAATGAAATAAAGCATTTTTCTTTTAAAACAGTACAGCTTGGGAGTGACTAAGAATATGGACTATCGAATGGTAGAGGGGTGTGTGTGTATCAGGCACATGCATGAGAATTAACCACTCACTTGCTTAGTTTATAACTCAGCGGCCACAGCTAACTGCCACAGTGGCTGCACCATATATGGTTTAAAAATGTTTGCTTACTGCTATGTGGCTTTATTGCCATCTGTAGTCCACTGCTGACTAAAACCAAAACATTAGGGATGTTGCTAATATTGGAATTAAATATATAACAGCATTAAAAACAATCCTGACATACATTCCAGTGATCGAGTAACTTCATGTGAACAAAGCTGTTACACAGTAACCATTAAGAAGCCTAAGAAGCCTTTGGCTTTCCAAAATCCAAGCCAAAAACACAGTTATTATATTCTATTTGAATCTTCTTTTACTGAGATTGAAACATTCTCCACTGTGTATTACGGATATTATTAAAAATCACAGCCTGAAAGTTTTATTTATACATAACAAGTTAAATTTTAATCTACTTAAAATGAAATGTCACTTTAAATCTTGAAAAATTAGTTCTTCCTTCCATAAATAGGAGTTATCATTTATTAAACGAGACATTACATTGTCTTTCATAATCTGTATCCAAAATATTTATGACATCCAATCTCAAGAATATTTCTCCTTAAAAGCCACTTCTTCCTGTCATACAAAGTCATGTGAATTCCTGAGGGGCTGACAGACCACTTTCCTGACTCTGTAAGAAAGCGAAGTGCCAGCCCACTCTGACGCCCGGCCACAACCTGCTCTCACCTTCTCTCCTTCAACCACATCAAACTCTACAGTTTCTCCATCTCCCACACTGCGCAGGTACTTCCGCGGATTGTTCTTCTTGATGGCGGTCTGCAAAGAGAAGAGAAGATACAAACTGAAGTTGGTCTCAGTACCGGTAACCTTCCATCGCTTTCCAGTTTACTGGGGATACTGAAGAGGCTGTTGACCTATTGTTATTCGTACTTTTTAAAATTTATCATTCTCCTACTAACATGAATCTCTGAAACAGAACAAGGAAAACACGGTATAAAAGCTGTTCCACGTGACTTTCGTGTTTGACGTCATCCTTCAACATCCATCTGGGCAGGCGTGTTAAACGGAATGTGCGGTCGCACTTCCATTCACAGCCTGGCCACCCAGTCCCGACACGGTTTACTTAGTGCCCTTGGACATTCAGACTGCAGCTCCATCGGTGGGGGGAAGTCCTGGTGAACTCTTATACACACACGCACGCGTATGTTAGGTACAAAGGTTTCTGCAGACCACAGAAAGTGCTTCCCTCAAGGTATTAAAGAGTTGTGTGAAGGGGAGGAGGGATGATGAAAAGAAAAAGGAATTAGGAAATGCCAAGGGGTAAGTATTTCGGAGAGAATATACAAAACTACCTCAGGAATCAGAACCTTACTTATAATCTGGCTTATCTCCCACCCGAGCCACCCATTTTATGGATGAGGAAGCATGAGGCTGATAAGTGATGTGTATCTGAGGCCACATTAAAGATGTTGGCGGTGGGGGAGGGAATTCATCCCCCTGTACTGAGTCCATATATTTATTCAGTATTTTCCCCACCACACCATGCTTTGTCTCGGACAACACATTAAAAGGTTAATGCAGATGTTCTCCTGCATTAAACATCTGCATCTAAATATCTGCCTACACTTTGACCTTTCTTCTTCAGCCCGCAGCAGAGCGGGGTGGCATCATCCCTGCGATGAACTTCCACTTCTCTTTAGCTGGTATCTCTAAATAGTTAAAGGGGCTCTGAGTGTCTGTGGAATTAGGTCAACCTTATTTTATAAAGCGACTAGGCATGTGTAAGCTAGCCCTTCCCTTACTCTGAGTAGGAGGAAGGAAAAAAAAGTAAAAGAATGAGCCAATAGAGCCGAGACTTCACCCACAGAGGAAAAAGGCAGTTCGGGACAGGATATACGCGCACACAGCTTGAGCATTCAGCCATTCCAAAGCCGGCCCCTCCCTGCCGGCTCCTTGGCTTTTTCCTGTTAAACTGGGCAGGCCTCGACACAGTGCGGTGACTCACCCCACAGCCACACGGGGACTGGAGGAATCAGGTCACACACTCGCTCGCAGGCTCACAAAGCCGGCCACCAGCGCAGGCACTTGCGAGGCCCTTTTACTCCTGCCACCACCAAACGTGCAGTTCTTACCCCAACTCGTCTGCCAACCCCTTGGTATTTATTATAAGCAACACTTCCTGTCAGTCTGTTACGACTTCAGAAGTTAACCTACGCAAATTATCTACATACAACTGAAACACATCCACTCAAGCCGGAATATAAACAATAGGAACCACAAATAGGGTTTATTCTTAGCTGTCACTATTGCCAGTCACCCCACCCCAACACACACACACACACACACACACACACACACACACACACACAGTGTCTCTCTCTCTCTCCCCCCCCCCCCCCAACAAAAGGCAGCAAAACACTGAAAACCAAATGCTTGGCAGAGCCCTGCAGGTCAATCTGCTGGCAACAGAACCTTCCTCTGTGCTCCCTGCTGTTATATACTCAGAACTACACAGACCTTTGAGACAACTCATTGAAAACAACATACAAAGAAGAACAACAAGGATAGGTGTTCTTTTTCTTTTAATGTATTTTGTAAAGTAAGTCCAGGATACATGGTAATAAAATAAACAACATCCTAGGCCAATAACGTAAAGAAAGGCTGATATCCTGTAGCAGAGAAGCCCCTATTTTCCACATTTTACCCATTTTCTACTTTTGCTTTAAATTTAAGGCAGCGTGGGCCTTTGGACCCGGCCACGTGCCCACTGTGCCTGCCTCTGACGGGAGTGAGGACCGTCCTGGGAACAGGCAGGTTTCTCTGTCTTACAGACACACCCCAAACATCTGACTGCAAGTTAGAGGAGCTCTAGCCAGTCTCCGCCCAGGCCAAAAACCAGGTGCGTTCCCACCAGGCTCTGGGGGAACTGGCTCTGGGGGAACTGCGGAGTCAGGGGAGCACGGCATCAGCAGGAAACCGGTTTTTTGCTAAGGATTCAAGGGCTTTAAAACTTAAAAAGTGGTCGAACTGCATATTACTTCCTGCCACTCAAAAATAAAAACCATTTGAAAACAATGCCTGTGATGGGACAGAGTGCTCACCTGCCAATCTTAAAATGTGCAATTGAGCTCCCTCGCCAAAATAAAGTCACAGGGAGAGTTTGGGGTGGAACAGTGATGTACAGGACTACATTCGGGAATGGGACGACAGCACATTACTGACACCTCTCTCTTCACAGATACAATGTAACATTTATTACCCATCTTACCTGATGTACAAATACATCTTCTTTGGTGTCATTTCTGTTGGAAGACAAAAAAAAAAACTGAAGTTTATCCCAAGGCTTTAAAACACATCAAAAAAATGTTTGTTTATCCTCTAAACTCAATTGAGATGCCTGGACTCAGTCCTCAGAACTTCTAACCCCTCGAGACATCCACCTTGCTACTCCCCAGTAGCACAGTGCTCAGATCCAAGTGTACAGATTCAACACACAAACGTCCCTTCCTTCTCAGCTCTAAGTCACATGGTGTGTAATCAGAGCCCCAGATTTCCCTCCCAGCGAAAGCACAGCAAGCCGGTTAAAAGGACAGGGCGCAGCTGTGAACTAGGCTCTCCTTACACTGAAACCAAAAACAGTCCCTACCACCACCACCACTCCAGCCTAACTCACCCCCCCCACCCTCAGCAAAACAGACAAGGAAGAAACTGGAGGAATATTTTAAGAAAGGGGTTGGGGTAGGAGAGCAAAGAAAACTGTAATATCATATAAATACATAATACTCCTAAGAGCTTGCACTTATATTCTCATTCCTATATGGCTAGAAGTTACCGTGGTTTAAAGAAAACACTAGTTCCTACACAGGACTTGGAACTATCGTGCCCGTGCAGTTACGCACCAGTTGAAGTGACCTTGGGAAAGCTGCTTAGCCAGTCTCCATGTCTCCATCTCTGACATTATGGGCATGGGCTCAGTTATCTCAGGCCCTTCCTATTTCTGAATTATTCCCCCATTTTTTCCCCTTTTAATGGCTAGATTTTATAAAATAAGTTTCTTGTTTAATGTTCTGGAAATGTGTTTTAATTAACATTTAATGGCAAGTAGCTGAGCAACGAGAATATTTACAGTGCTTACACACCTTAAAACTTATATAAGTCATTAAGAAAGCATGGTAGAGAATTTATTACTACTGGCACCACAACAGAAGTATGCATTTAAGACATGCAGAGATGCGAGCACACATACCGGTTAATAAACCCGTATCCATTTCTGACGTTGAACCATTTGACGGTGCCAAGGACTTTGGTGGCTAAAATAGGATTAAGCAGATAAATTAATTGCTGATGTACAATGAGATAAAACTCATATCATTTAAGATCTTGACAGCATTATGTAAAGCCTAAACATACCGGAAGAAACCATTACAAGCTTAATTCCAAAACATGTTAGGAAAAGAAAATGGAACAAGTAAAGACATTATAGGGAAACACTTTTCAGAAGACTAAACCTTTTTCCCCTGTTAAACTTTCTGGTAAAGTCCTTAAATAAGGAGTGGCCATAAGTCTATGCAATCCTGCCATAATTAAAACAGAAACAGCGTTTAAGGAAAAACAAGGAAAAAAGTTCTTTAAACACCAAAAAATGTTACAAGTGCAAAAGAAGGGTCGCAGTGAAAGAGAATACAGATCAGCAAACAAGGAAAATACAAATGACCTTAACCCATCACTCTCACACTTTGGAACGCTGGCAAACTTTACTACGTGAAACAGTAGCTCCTTGTTGATAGTCTACAAAGATATAACATAAAGTGACTCGTCTCGTTGCCACATGGTGGTCTATCAGAGGAGTCATGAGTAATAATAGAACTGATGCTGCCTCGATCCAGCTCTGGGCTCAGCACCCTGAGACATGATGTAACAGGACTTTTCAAACCGCAGTGATGCACCTGGACTTCTGTGTCACTGTTTACCCCGCTCCCTGCAGTTGGCAGGAACCAAACTCAGCATTTTCTATACGGTCCCCCTCTTAAACTTCATTAAGGTCTCTACTGTCCATCATGAGCAGGACCATTTCTGTACACCAGATTTTAACATAAAACAAAGAGTATGGTTCTATAACTTGTCCTTCATAGATTCATAATGATTTCAGCCATCAAGTAAGATCTGAGGTGACTCCTTTAAACCAATTGTGAATGCCAAATTCCGTACCTTTAAGAAATGCCTATGTCTAAATTCAGGAAGTGCAGAGAGCAATTATCAAGACTCAGTGAAACAGGAAATCTGACAATAGAGTACCTTAAAAAGAAAACTTAGTAGAGAATGAAAGTAACAATTAACATTAATCCATGCTGCCTCTCTGAGATACAAAATTTATAATTTCCAAGGATAAACAATAAGGATTCAGTTTTTAAACTCAAGACTAAAACATTAATTAAAACTTGTTTTGTTGTGAGCAGGGTTAATTCTGAGTGTTGCTAGACTGACATGCTTGAGGCAATTCTTTTTCTTACTAAAAAGAAAAAAAATACTCCTTTATGCTCTCAAGTCATTTAGCTTACTATTGCCTCAGTGACCTCCAACTCTCTGACACCAAGTAACGAAGACTTCTCCAATGAAGAGGTTAAACCACTGGAATCTTCAGTTTTAGGCTTTTCTACTTTTACAGCATTAGGGCAAAGAAGAAAAAAAATATGTTTTATACCCAAATGTACACAAACGTACACTATTTTTGATAAATCATATGCTTTTAGGTCACACATTATTTCAAATGATTTACCTTTTGTGACTCTTGTCATTTACCCTAATGAATGTCCTGGAACTGTTTGTGACTTATTTTCATGTAAGTTAATGTCTACCACTGTCAAAGGAATAACCCTGACTAGAAAGGCAACATGATAATAGGGGAAAAGATAAAGAATGATTGTCAAGGTTAACTTCAACCAAACTGGAAACTTATTTTTACTCCCCCAGTGTAATTAAAAATTTTTTTCCCAGTCTCACACCTATTTCCAATCATGTCATGTGGCCAAACACGTTGACCCACCCTTTTTGCTTTAAAAGCATAAACTCAGTTCACATATACAAAGGGAGAAGGGGAGACAAAGGAAGCCACGTGGTTTCCGTCAGGTTCATCAGAAGTGTTGTTTCAGTCAGGTAAACGGCTTTTCCTGGCCTAGTAGGACGGCTGTATTCACCACACTGAAGGCAAAAGACCGTTTGTAAAAACTAAAATGGGAGAATCCAAAACCTGAATTCCATTCCAGCCAGCACTGGGCCTGGCACAGCTTGGGCACCCACGTGCTTGCTTGGCAAAGGAGAGGAGAGGGCAGGACAGGGAGGGCAGAGGCAGCCAGTGCCCAGACGTCCCGCAGCCGGCTGCCCTTCGCTCTGAAGAGCCGGAGTTGCAGGGGAAAGATAAACCAGGTCCAGGATCATCACCAGGATGTGGACGAGGCTTAACAGCAGTTGGTGATTGACAAAAACTAACTTTATGTTTCCTTCGTCTTTGCCAATACCTGCTTTAAAATCCAGAAGTAAATACTTTAGATCCAAAAGGGTAGAAGGATTAAGTGAAAAACTGCAAAATTCCCTTTACACAAAAGAAGTTTTTAAAAGGATATATCCAAACACCACTCTGGACAACTCAAGGCTGTCTGTCTCAGACATGCTGCATGAGGCGTTCCAAGAAACAGTTGCTGGAAATATCCCAGTTCAATATGGACTAGACTTAAGCAACTTTAAGTCCAGCAAAATACCAGCTATTTCATTTCTTAACCTACACAGGCTACATTTAGCATGTTGTTGGCATTAACTGAATAAAACCCCTGGGGTGTGGAAGGGGGCAGGGGAGGCAGGAGACAGGCCCTCTCAAAGTAAGGGACATGGAATCATATTACTTTCTTCACATTAACCTCTTATTTTTCTTCCTAGAAAACTGGAAAGGCTCTGAGAGGTCAAACACACCCTACCCAAAATGCCGAAAATTTCTTTGAAGCATCCCACACCATCTCTTAACTTTCCTGTTTAAACGGCAGTGAATGATACAGGCACACACCCATGAGAAAGCTTATGCACCACCCACGAGCTTTGTAAGCCTGTTTAAGGTCTCGCACGGGGACACAGGGCGTTACTTGAGAGAAGGCTGCAGTACGTGACAAAACCAACAACGACCACAGAGACCTTTTCTGACGCTCTGTGCCCCCCCGCCCCCCAATACACACACACACAAAAAAAAACCCAAAAAACAAAAAAACCCTGAACGGCTTATCGCCTATTTCCGAAGTTTCAACTCGCTAAGATAACGATGGGGCGAACAAACGTCATACCCACACTTCCTAAGTTTTTCCAGCTGCTGCACCAAGTGCGTTCCCACAGCCCAGGAAGAAGAAAACGTGTAGCGATTAGTAAACAGTGAAACAGGTTCTGCGCGGCAGTGGGCACAGGGAAGGAGGAGGACGGGGGACCAAGACCCAAGAGGATTGCAACACCCCTTTCCTTGCCTGTGGCCGACAGAAGCGTGGCGCCTTTACGTGCCAATGTGGGAAGGGCGTCAGGGACAGACACCTGAGCCTCCCCCCGAAAGAAGCCTTTTCACCTTTCCTTTCCCGTCTCCCACGAGCGCCTCATTCTTCCCCAAAGGAAATCCTGTCGCCACCCAGATCCTACGCAGTGACTCCAAAGTCGCCATCCCACGTGTCTGTTCCTCCCCTACATCCACCTCCATCCCCACCCTGGGTCCTATTTCAGACTGCCGCTCCTTTGCTCTTTGGACCAAATAAAGGGGAACATGCGACAGTGACCAAAGTAAGACCCAACTTGCTGGCCCAGGACCAGGAGAAAAGCGCACCGGACGGCGAGGAGCGCAGGGCGCCACGCGCTCACCTGGGAGCGCCTGCAGGACCAGCGCGCTGCAGCCCCTGGTGCTGGGCACCGACGCCCTTGGAGACCCCACAAGGTGCTCCCCACACCAGGGGGGAAAGCAACTGGCGATGCCCACACGTGCTCGGCTTCTGGCTGCAGCCCGCCCCGCCCGGGGCAGCCCCTAAACTCCGGGACTGACTCACCGAGAACTTTTTTCTCCGCGTCTTCACTGCTGGCGGGGGCTGAAGAGGCCGGGGCTGCGGGGCCCGTGGGGGTCGCGTCCCCACCCGGGTTTCCTGCGACGAGGGCAGCGGGCGCCGTGGCAGCGGCCTGGGGCGCACCGCCGCCCGCCGGGCTCTTGGGCGCGGAGTCCTGGGGGACCGCGGCGGCCGCCTCCGCCGGAGCCTGCGGGAGGGCGGCGGCGGTGGTGGTGGTGCTGGTGGCCTCGCTCATGCCGCCTCCTTTGCTCTCTCTCGGGCACCTCGGTGGCGGTTGGTCGGCGGTTAGCGCGGCTGGTGGTCGCGACGGCCGGGCTCGCTCTCGGGAGGCCGGTGCGGATCTCGCGGCGCGGAGGCGGCGGCGGCCGGGGTGGGGTCTCGCGGCGGAGGCGGCTCGAGCTCTCGGGCTGCGCGCTTGCTCTTGGGCTCCTCGCTGGATCTTACTGCCCCAAAAATGGCCCCGCACAAGTTTTTCTAGGCGGCGCACGGGCCGGGGAGGGAAGGGCGGGCGAGGGAAGAGGGTGGGGAAAGTTGGCTTCGGAGTTGGGCATCGACTCTATTAGCATTTAAAGGAGCCTGGTGCCCTTTCTAACCCACGCATCCACCCGAGACTGGACCGCAGGGGCCGAGGTGGGGATCAGAGAAAGCGAGGATAAGTTTGAAGTTTGCGTTGCACTCTGGAGCGCTCTGAGGAGTCCACTCTACTGTCCCTTTGTTGGAGAGGAACAGAGGGATCGCGTCCCTCACAGTCTCGAGGACACCTGAAACTGACCTTTAGCAGAGGAAAATAGGGCATCCAAATTACGCTGCGCTTCTCTCCCCCCAACACTTGTTTTTATGCAACATCTATCAAGCAGCAGAAACCATTTAATACAGCAGTTAAGAATTGAAATGATAGAATCTTAAGACCATCTGGCAACTTACTCTTGAAAGATAATTTGTGGGTAATTTCATCTATAACCCACAGCTGAGGAAATTGGAGTCCAACCCTCAGAGAATTATTGTATCCGAGTTTACACCCATTTAACAGAACAAATAATGGGTTGTTAATGTGTTTTTTAATACTTTAGTTGAAATAAATCCACCTCCTACCTTTTGCTCCAATTGCCTAGACCATCTGGTGAAAGATTAAGCAATGGAGCCCTCTTAACCTCGTGGATGACAGATACAGTAAGACATCGCCCAATAAACGTTATTCCCAGCCGAAGGAGCCCACGTGGCCTTTAGAGAAAGAACTGGGTTATGGTAAACACATACCAGAAAGAGTGCGACTTGTACCCAAGTCCTGTCGGGAATACAGAACTATTTGGTCTCCAGTGCAAACGTAGGTGTAAATTTCTAGTGCTGCTGTTTCCTAACCGAGTTCACCGAGTTCCCACAGGCAGTGCGGCAGAGCCAGCTCCCTCTTTGGGGAGAGTTTCATAAAGGCGTCATGGAAAGTAGAGATTATCATATGTAACTCCAGTGTCTGGTATCACAAAAGCTCCTTTTTTTTTTTGTCATTCCCTATTTCCCCAAACCATTTACCTATTTATTTTTTCCTGGAGTTATGTTATGGGTCTGTGTGCTCTACATCAGGAGGGTGACTTTCCAGTGTAAGTCACTCTATTTCCACTGGTTAGCAAAGCACCGAGTATAGAGTTGGCATTTGGTAAATGTTTACTAAATGAAAACAAAAAGAACAAAATTTTCCCATCTTAATTACTTATCAATACCTTCATTATCAGTAATTATGAAACCATCCTGCATTAGTACTTTCTCATGAAGTGAGAAAATTACTAATTAAATGAAATTAATTAGGTCTTAGAAAAAATATCAAAATACAGGATTTTTTACTTTTCCATGTATTTCATCAATATTTTTAAAAATTACATACTCTTAAATGTTAGCCATATTTCACTTTGAGTACTATATAGAGCATACAGTAATGTTACATATGAGGTCTGTCCAGAAGGTATCCAGCTATGTTGTGTGAAAAGTAGAGACATTTACTGAGGAACATACAAGATACAAGAAACGTACATAGAACAATGATGCCTCAGTCCCCTTCAAAGAAGGCGCTTTGGGACCTCACACAGTTCTCCCAAACACCATCAGCTGCCCTGTAGTATTTTCCTGAATCTCATCAACGGTCAGAAATCTCTTCCCTTCCAAAGGTGATTTTAGTTTGGGGAAAAGCCAGAAGTCACAGAGTGCCACATCTGGGCTGCAAGGGACTGAATCACCTGGGAAATTTGATGTTTTGCCAAAAAACTCTGCGCAAAACGTGATGCATGAGCAGGTGCATTGTGATGATGAAGCTGCCAGTCTCCAGTTGCCCACAGCTGTGGTCTTCTGAATCATCTGAATAGTTTCCACGGAGGAAGAAGGTTCAAGCTTAATGCAAAATTTGATGCAGATTCATTGCTCTACTCCCTCAGTTTTTTTGATGCCATAGCCACACAATATGCATGGCACTCATGGTGTCTCCCCACCCCCATTGACTAGTACAGGTTAATTTTCATCGTTCATGCATGAGCATTCCAGTCCACTCTCCTGGGCTGCCAGGTTGCATCAATGTCAAACAAACCATTCTCATTATATTAACAATGACTGGACTTTTTCTAGACAGACCTCTTATATGTGAATAGTTAAGAAAAATATTGGTCTACCCCTCATCAGTGTGGCTCAGTTGGTTGGGTGTCACCCTGCAAGGTGAAGCATCAATGGTTCGATTCTCAGTCCGGGCACGTGCCTGGGTTGCATGTTTGGTCCCTGGTCAGGACACGTACATCCAAGAGGCAACTGATCAATTGTTTCTCTCCTTCTCTCCCTTTCTTCCCCTCTCTCTAAAAATAAATAAATAAAATATTTTTAAAATGCTAGTCTAAAATTTGTTTTAAATAAAAAACACTGGTCTCATTATAAACATGTTTAAATAATTTCTTGATTTTTTTTTAAAGATTAGAGTTGTAAAATTAAATTAGAAGCATGATTTACTCTGGCGAGGACTTGCCACTGACTTTCCTATCCAACAAAGTGATTATCATTGCTATGTACTGTGCAAAATTGGATTGCAAGAAAAAACAGCTTGAATTATTTAAACTCTGGTCCAATATTCAAGCCCTTTGAATGTATGTGTGTGTATATATATATATATAAAATATATATATATTGGTATATATATACCAATATTCCCCCTTGAAAGATAAGTCATAACTAACATGTGTAGCCTCCAACCTCTGGACGGCCCTAAAGTAATTACAGATGCATCCTGGAATTTCCTAGAATTTGTCCTGGAATGGCTCCCGAATCTACTTATTTTCATCCAAAAAAAGCAGTGAGCAGCTGGGAGTTCTTGATACTGTGCTAAATAAATCTAGAGAGAATTAGTTAGAACAAACATAATCTCTATTGTTTTAATAATCATAAGTAGGGAACAACATGGATACATGTTACAAATACTCATAAAGTCATCCATCCCTTCACTCACTAACTCATGCACATGCTCATTAGCACATGTTCACGAAGGACATGCCATGTGCCAGACAGAGCAGTGCACGGTGAGTGTCCAATGTTGATCAAGATGAAGCTTCGTCTAAGGCTTTTTTTCACGTGGTGTTTTTCTATCATTTCCAGTGTAAAGAAATGTTATTTATTAAATTGGAGATTCAGTGGAACAAAAGAAGAATCATGATATAATAAACGACAATAGCCATTTTTATTGTATATTGATTATGCTATTACAGCTTTCCTGATTTTTCCCCCTTTGTCCCCCTCTACCTGGTAGCCCCCCACTCCCTCAGGCCACCATGGTTCATGTCCATGGGTCATGCATATAAGTTCTTTGGCTACTCCTTTTCCTATATTGTACTTTACATCGCCATGGCTACTCCATAACTACCATTTTAATACTTGTTAATCCCCTCACCTCTTCACCCATTCTCCCCCTCTCCCTCCCATCTGGTAACTTTTTAAAAAATAACTTCTTTTCTCTTGCTTTTAAGAGTCTCTCTTTGTCTTTAACCTTTGGGCTTTTTAATAATGATGTGTCTTGAAGTGGGTCTCTTGGCATCCATCATAACTGGGACTCTCTGTGCTTTCTGGACTTGCACATCTATTTCCCTCACCAAATTAGGGAAGTTTTCTTTCACTATTTTTTCAGATGGATTTCCAATTACTTGCTTTTGTTCTTCTCCTTCTGGCATCCCTGTGAGGTGATTTTTGGACCTCTTAAAGTTGACTCAGAGGCTGTTTATACTATCCTAATTTGGGGGGGGGTTCTCCTTGTTATGTGGGGTTCTTTTTCACTTCCTTATGTTCCAAACCATTGATTTGATTCTGGCACATTGATTTGAGTAGAGTAGCTTCATCCACTCTACTGTTGTTTCCCTGTAATTGATTCTTATTTCAATTAGTGTAGCCTTTGTTTTTGACTGGGTCTTTTTTATGTTTGCTGAGGTCCTAAGTTCCTTGAACATCCTTATAATCAGTGTTTTGAACTCTGCATCTGAGAGATTACTTATCTCCATTTCATTCAGCTCTTTTTCTGAAGTTTTGATCTGTTGTTTCATTTGGGCCATGTTTCTTTGTCTCCTCATTTTGGCAGCCTCCTTGTGTTTGTTTCTATGTATTAGGCAGAGGTTCTTTCACTCTGTGTCTTGGTAGTGTGGGCTAATGTACTTGGTGTCCTGTAGAGTCTAGTGGCACAGCCTCCCCTATCACCCAAGCTGGGTACTTGAGTTGCTCCCTTTGTGTGGGCTACATACACCCTCCTCTTGTAGTTAAGCCCTGGTTACTGTTGGTATTTCAATGGGAGGGATTTACCCAGGCCAGTCAGTTACAAGGATTGACTGTGACCACTGGCCATCAATCCCACCCTCCATTGAGGATCAGCTGTGCAGGGGCAGGGTGGTGGTACTCTCACAGGTCTGTAGCTGTCCACTGGGTATGTTGGTCCTGGGGTTTCCTGGGTGGTGCAAGCCAAGGTCAGTCCTGACCTGTGTTTTGCCTGGGGCACCCTCCCTGAGCTATAAAGCAATCTGAGATGGCTGCTACTTGTGCTGGGCTTGGAGATTCCCAAAAAAAGCCAAGCTGTGACTCTTATCTGGCTGCCTCCAGAGCTCACTGAAACCAGCTGTTGCTTGTTTGATAGGATTTAGAAGCCAAGGCCAGCCATTCCTATGGAAAGGCAGCTTGGGTGGACCCTTAAGTTGGTGGGGTAGAATCTCTGTGAATCTCCACAGTATTAGCCAGGTTGATGGAGTCTCAGATGTGATACATTGAACCCACTAGTACTGTGAGGGGAGGGCTCAGCAAAAGGACAATGGCCTCTCCTTGCTCTGATGCCAGACACTTCAGTACCACTGGTACCCTTCAAGCTGCTACCCTGCTGCTGGAGCTCAGAGGGAGCAAGTCCAAGAAGGTGAGTCCAGGTGTGGGTTCCCCAGGAGGAACTGCTTAGGGGTCCACCAGCCTCCTCCAC